CTCTAAGGCAGCAGTTTCCTAATTTTAAGGGGGCTGGGATCCGGGACCTTAGGAGAAACTTGGGAAAGTCCAGCCCCTGTGCCCAGACCCAACGCCCCTAAACACAGGGGCCTTCAGACATGACATGGGATGCCTGCTCCAGGTCCCTTGGCTCTAAACCAGCCCGAGGTCCCACCTGGAGGCGGTCCCGAAGGCGGTGGCCAGCGGTGTCACGATGCCCCACAGGAAGCGGTAGGGGTTCTTCCGAGTGAAGAGGAAGTAGATGAGGGGCAGCACCAGGAGCCCGTGGATGGCGTGGCCCAGCAGGCAGCACAGGATGTATTTGCCGAGTTTGGCGAAGAGCTTCCCCACGTCGTCCCCCTCCGCGATCTTGCTGGCCACCAGGAACAAGATGCCCACGGGGGCATACCTAACACCCAGGAGACAGAGCGCAGCCTCTGAGCACGTGCCCACTCAGGGCCAGGCACTGGGCCCCACACACAGCCTGGCCACCGGCCCCCTCGGAGTCAGGAGGCGCCCGGAGCAGTGTCTGTGGGAGCCTGGCACCTCCCCTGCCCTCCTCGTGCCCTCTCCCCTGGGAGATGGTGTGGCCAGGAGTGCTTCCCTCGCCACTTGGAGTAGCGTCACCAACCAGATCTGGACTTAACACATGACCGAGAGAGAAGCACACACCATGCGTGAGTCATTTACGATTCCCGGGCTCCTTCGTTACGGCAGCTGGTACGACTTACACCAACACGATCTCTCACCACATCGTGAAAAAGGAAAAGACCACGGCTCACGTCTTAACAACAGCTCCCTGGCATGCAGCCCGTACAATGTGCTGAGCCCCCGAGTGTGACAGAACCTTTCCCACCAGGGACCTCCTTTCTCGAGTCTCTTACAGCTAACACTGAATTAACAACATGTGAAAGGTCCCCGAAACGCAGGAACAGTAATGCTCCCAACCTCATAAGAATGCTGAGAGGACGAAAGGAGATGCCAGTGGAAATGAGCTGAGTGCTTTTTAATAATTCATCTATAAACTTCAGCACTATCTCCTGGAGTGAAGATCCCGGGTGTTTATGCCTCCCGGCCAGGAGGCCCCCCAGGATTGCCTCGGGGACGGCTTGATCGCTATTACCAGGTGTCCCCCAAACACTTTTCCTCTTTAGTAAGAGAAGAAAGGCACTGTTTCCCAGCAACCTGTGCCCCTGGGTTTGGCCAAATTCCCATGTTCTGGCCAGTGGGCGGTGCCAAGAAATTATACAAGTCAAGTACTGGATACATATTAGCTAACATGGTTTTCTGCCAGCCTGCTATAGGCCAGGCACTGTCCCAGGCACTTTACACGTATTAACTTTGTGTGGGTGTATTAACTTTTTTGTGCCTGGTCTGCTCAGCCCCATTTGCCAGGTAGGGAAACTGAGGCACAGGGGGAGAAGTAACTGGTTGTCAGGCACGGCTAGGAACCCAGGCCATCCAGTTCTGACCCACAAGACATCACCGCCTCTCCAGCAAAGTGTTTATTCCCGCACAGCAGCTTCTTAGATGCCGGCTGCACTGCAATCAGGTGGGCGGGGGTATAGGGCTTGTTAAAAACACAGCAGCTTGCCCTGGCCAGTTTGGCTCAGTGGATAGAGTGTCAGCCTGCATACTGAAGGGTCCCAGGTTCAATTCCGGTCAAGGGCACATGCCAGGATTGTGGGCTCAGTCCCTAGTAGGGCACATGCAGGAAGCCGCCAGTCAATGATTCTCTCTCACTTATGTTTCTGTCTCTCTCTCCCTCCTCCTTCCTCTCTGAAATCAATAAAAAAATATTTTTTAAAAAAAAGCAGCCCGAACCGGTTTGACTCAGTGGATAGAGCGTCAGCCTGCGGACTGAAGGGTCCCAGGTTTGATTCCAGTCAATGGCATGTACCTTGGTTGCGGGCACAGCCCTAGTACAGAGTATGCAGGAGGCAGCTGATCGATGTCTCTCTCATCGATGTTTCTAACTCTGTATCCCTCTCCACTCCTCTCTGTAAAAAAATCAATAAAATATGTTTTTAAAAAGCAGCAACTTTTCTGGCTCGTGTGTCTCAGTGGTTGAGCGTCAAACTATGAACCAGGAGGTCATGGTTCAATTCCCGGTCAGGGCACAGGCCTGGGTTGCAGGCTTGATCCCCAGTCTGGGGTGTGCAGGAGGCAGTCGATCAATGAGTCTCACTCATCATTGATGTTTCTCTCTCTCCCTCTCCCTCCTTCTCTGAAATCAATAAAAATATATTTTTTAAAAATTCAGCAACCCTGGCCCCCCTCCCAATTTCTGACCTTTAGATCCAGGGCGGGGCCTGAGAGTCAGTGTGAGGCTGGGGAGGGGACAAGTAGGGAAGCCAGAGGCCTGTGAACATGCTTTTTTCTCATTAACTAAGGGCATTTAACAAAACGCATAATGTAAGAGTTGTAGTTATAGTGAGTGAGTGCTCAGTAGGGCCAGGCACTTAAAGCACTTTCCAAGTGCTTTCTTGACCTACACCAGTCACTTGTTTCATCTTTGTGATAACCCTATAAAGCCAGTACTATTTTTTTTATGTTTTTTTATTTTATTATTCCTCACCCAAGGATATTTCTCCATTGATTTTTAGAGAGAGTGGAAGAGAGAGGGAAAGACAGAGAGAAATATCGATGTGAGAGAAACACATTTATTGGTTGCCTCCTGCCCGCACCCCAACCAGGGCCAGGGAGGAGCCTGCAACCCAGATATGTGCCCCTGACTACAATGGAACCAGAGACCCTTCAGTCTGCAGGACGACGTTCTATCCACTGAAGCCAAACCGGCTAGGGCAGTGGGTGCAATTTTAGATCATTGATCCAAAAGCAGATATTTGATTACCTTTAAATCTAAAACCGAGATGTGTTCGCCAGGCTGTGGCTATAGCTTGGCTGTGTTTCTGTCACCTTCCAGTAAGATCAAGGTGCTAGCATCAGTCCAAGCTTTCACAGAATACAGCACTGTCCTTATTTTATAATGAGGAAACTGAGGCCCTGAGAGGGTAAGTCACTTGCTCAATGTCACACAGCCCTGGGATGGTCAATGCTGGATTTGAATCCAGGCCCTTCTGGCTCCAAGAAGTGCACAGGTCATCCCATCCCACACCCCAAGCCCCCCTCCCACCACCTACCACATGATCCAGGAGACCAGCACCATGGTGGCGTCGTTGAAGGAGTTGAAGAAGCGGATGAGCAGCTCCCCCTCGGGCCCCAGCTTCCGCAGGCACACGCCAAACGCGATGGCAAACACCACCAGGCCCAGGATGTTCATGCCCTCCACCTCACCCTCCGCCTTTGGGCAAGGAACAGATGGAGATGGGAGGGGGATGCTCAGTCAACTTGCAAACTCCCTGAGGGCCTGTCCTGGGCAGTACTGGGACCCATCAACTCAGGTCCCTTCCTACCAAGGCTCAGGGTCCAGGTCCAGGGAAGATAGACCTACGACCATGAATCACCCAGAGTGGGCAGGGTTGAAACTGGAGAACCCTGGGGAGTGTGGAAACTGAGGGGGTAGGGGTTTTTGTCAGCTCAGGGGTGTGAGTAATCAGGGAGGGCTTCCTGGAGGAAGGGGCTGAGGCCGGGAGGACAGCAAGGGTGAACCAGGTAAAGAAGGAATGGCAGAAAGTTCTAGAGCAGTGGTTCTCAACCTTCCTAATGCCGCGACCCTTTAATACAGTCCCTCATGTGTGGTGACCCCCAACCATAAAATTATTTTCGTTGCTATTTCATAACTGTAATGTTGCTACTGTGATGAATCGTCACAAAGTGTCCTATGATCTGTGGCCAGGAGCCCGGGCTTTCTTCTGAGGGCACCCAGGAGTGTGGCGGGGCTTTGAGCAGGGGGAGGCAGGGACCGGTTTGAACTTTGAAAAGGTCACTTCGGCTGCCAGGCCTGGGGCAGATCTGGGAGGAGGCCAGGAAGGGGGTTGGTGGGGGAGGGAGACAAGAGCCTGGACCACAGTGGATAGTTGGGGAGAAGAGGGGTCAACATGGAGACTCCAGAAAGGCAGAAGGACTGACATTGGAGAAAGGCTGCCCAGAGTTTAAAACCAAATTACACACCAAATGCTAGACGACCAGGGGCTAAAAAAAGGGTCTAGGGCCCCCCACCCTTCTCCTGCCCTCACCTTCACATAGGTTCCGTTCTCCTTTGTGTAGTAGGTAGAGTACTGCAAGGGGATTGGGAAGAGTCAGTGTCACAGTCATCCAGGTGTCCCCCCCTCCCCGCCACTGGCTCCTACAACGCTCAAAGCCTGCCCAGACGTCCGTTCACACATCATCATTCTCTCCCACCAGCAGCCCCACTGTGATAAGACTGCTCATGCCCCGTTTTCTAGAGGCAGGAACCGAGGTTCAGAGAAGTAAAGGCACTTGCCCAGAATAACAGCTAGAATGAGAACCCCGCGGGCGCTGGGAGCCCGTATCCTCATTTGTGGGTGAGGGGAGTGGATGGCTTTCAGAGGTCACCCCAGAACCCTGAAATAGTGCCTGTAAATAGGTGGGCCGGTACCACCCACACAAGCACCAAGGGGCTGCGACTGGCTGTCTTCCTCCCTGCCCACCCCTCCCCGCTGGGGATTCCCCCGCCCCGCCTCCGGGACTCACTGAGCGGAAGGTTGCGGACACCAGGTTGGAAGGGAAGAGATTTCTGTAAAGATAGACATGGGGGCGGTTATTAGATACCACAGGGGGGAAGTGGGGGAATATCTACGGGGCTGGGTTGGCCTCTTGAGGTGGGCAGAACCCTGAAGGCCCGCCCATTGCCCCCAAATGTGTGCCCCCCACCCGCTGTGCCTCAGCTAGGTTCGGTCAGGCAGAGCCGAACCGGGCCTGCACAGTTACGGGGCGTGGGAGTTCGAGCTGGTCTCCCAGGGCCCCAGTAGGCTGTCATCCCAGCCCCAAAGGATTTCCGTGGCGGGTTAGAAATGCTGGCTTCCCCAGGCAGGCTGGGGCAGGGTCACCTTTGGCCTCAGCTCCACCCCAAGACGCAAACTTAATACCCTGGACATCTTGCATCAGCCACTTCCTCCGAGAAAAGGGCAGGCTGGCCCTGGGGGCTGGCCGGCGGCTCGGAGCGTTGGGAAGAGGTGGGGACAGAGGGAGACAAGAGAGGGCTGTGTGCGTCATGAATGTGCATGTGTGTTCCCGCGGCCGCTTTCATGATGGGACGTGCATGTGTGACAGTCGGGGCGAGCCCAGCTGTCAGTGTGCGACATCACAGCCCTGGCCGCGTGTCTGCGTGTCTGCGTGTCTGCGTCCAGCTGTGTCGCTCAAGATATTTCAGCTGAGTCTGGGAGTGGCTGGCCAGAACAGACACAGAATTACAGCTGTTCTGGCACAGGGGAAGGCCCTTTGGCATCAACCGCCTTCTGGTGGGGGTGCGGGTGGGCTGGTGCTCACCCTGGCCAGCCAGGGCGGGCCAGGCCCCAGCTAATCTCCCCTAGCCAGGAGGTGCCACCCACTGCAACGTCTGGGGTGAGTTTCCCATCTCAGGCGGCACAGAGGCCACAAGAGGCTGGGGGAACCCAGTTCCGTGACTCATCATCTACCTCCACCACTTCCCGGAAGTCCCCCGCCAACCCGGAGACACTGAGTCAGCAGGCCCCCAAGGCGAGGCCCTGTGGATCCAGCAGTCTGTCCTCTTTAAAAGGAGGGAGAACCATTCTTGGGGGTAAGGGAGGGAGGGAGGGGCTTGGGGAGCAGAGGCCAGAAGTAAAAGAATCTGCCCCCTTGGTAACCGGCCCCCGTCTGGCCCCGAGGAGGGTATGGAATGGAAAGTGGTGGCACAGGTGGCGGGACTTAACCAGGAATAGACCCTGAGCCGCCAGATGATTATGACCACCCCATCAGCGCTCACCGACACTTCCCAAAATACTGAATATTGAAAACTTCCTAAGCAAATACTCTCAAGGTTTTATTACTATTATTATTTGCGTAACTAATTCACTTCATTGTACTGATGGGGTGGTCATAATCATCTGGCCACTCAGTGCACATGAGAAATGTTGGACAATAGCAATCCTGAAGGAGGAGGGAGTAGAAGGAGCTAAACTAGGAGAAGGAAACGAGCGAGATGGGAAATGAACATATGAACACCCGGAGACACTGAGTCAGCAGGCCCCCAAGGCGAGGCCCTGTGGATCCAGCAGTCTGTCCTCTTTAAAAGGAGGGAGAACCATTCTTGGGGGTAAGGGAGGGAGGGAGGGGCTTGGGGAGCAGAGGCCAGAAGTAAAAGAATCTGCCCCCTTGGTAACCGGCCCCCGTCTGGCCCCGAGGAGGGTATGGAATGGAAAGTGGTGGCACAGGTGGCGGGACTTAACCAGGAATAGACCCTGAGCCGCCAGATGATTATGACCACCCCATCAGCGCTCACCGACACTTCCCAAAATACTGAATATTGAAAACTTCCTAAGCAAATACTCTCAAGGTTTTATTACTATTATTATTTGCGTAACTAATTCACTTCATTGTACTGATGGGGTGGTCATAATCATCTGGCCACTCAGTGTGCGTCAGGGCAGCCACCAGGGCCCAGCTGAACGGGGTGGGAAGGGAGGCTGAGAAAAGAGCCTGGGGGTCTGGGTGGCACGGGGCATGGGAAGCCCTGGCACTAGGAAGAGGGCCTGGTGGGGGTCATGGGATCTATCCAGACCCTGGACTCAAACCATCTGGAAGCCTCCTCCTGGGGCCCTTGGCCACCAAAACTCCCCTTGGGAATCCTCAGGATCCCCTCCCCTGAGAGGAGAGCCCCTCTTATGTCCCCGAAGCATTACTTTCCCTTTTCTCTGTAAGCACCCTCAGGTGGGGGCCCTCCCCCTTATGTCCCTAGTCCCCCACATTTAGAAGCCTCCTTCCCCGGGAATCTCTCCTCCCCCTCGAAAGACCAGAGCTCCCCGCATCCTCCCCTGAGGCCCTGGAGGTCTCCACCCCCCGCTCGTGGCCACGCACCCACTCCCGCCATCCGGAACACCATTCCCTCCCCATGTGGCTGAAGTCCCCTCTTCCCCGCTCCCCTCCCCCGGCGGCCGGTTCTGACCTCACAAGATCCAAGAAGGAATCCAGCACCTCCTTGCTGGGGGCCGTGTCTTGCGAGACGTCGCTCGGGACAGAGGCGTTGCCGGCCGCGGTGCCGATGGCTGTGCCGGCG